AGCGGCATCAACTGCAGAACAAGTATGGAGGTGGCTACTAGAAGACACAGCAGACATGAAAGGGAAATTTACTCACTGGTAAAGGAGTACGTTAAAATCCTCTGTCTTCTCCCATCCTGCTTACGCACTGCAGGAAGAGCCAGGAAAATTAAAGCAACAATGGGAAGCCAGGGAAACAATGGGGCAGGCTGGAAGAGGAAGAGATGAGGACACAGAATCAATTAAAGGAAAAGGAGGAGAAATGGTATAATCTGCCTGGATGCTGGCCCAGCAGCAAGTACAAAACAGGACACATTCCTCCAGCCCAGGTAGAGTTCCAGGCAGAGAAGAAGATAAACAACCATGGAATTAGAAGTGGGACAGAAAAGTGGAGGAGTGATTAACCAAACTGAACACAAAGCCAGAAGGGCCCTGTTGCTGCCACTTCTCTTGTTACCAGGCCATCCAGCCCAGGCCATCCCACAATATTTGAGCCTTAAACAGTAATACAACAATGTTTCCTGCATTTCCCTTTGTCCTTAACAATGGAGCTCAGCTGGACAAAGGCCATAAGATAGTTTGGCTGGTTAATGGATGAGCAAATATCACTGGATTCATGTGCTATAGCCGCCATCTGCCAAGAGAGTAAACAGCAAGAAGTTGGACAACATACAGTAGAGAAGAACTCATTTTTGCCTGTTTTTCCAAAATCTCCACTTAGTTTTCTTAGCCAGCCCTACCCAAAACTCAAGGTACAGTAGTAATTGATATATCACTGTCATAGGAAAGAACAGAGACTCAACTCAAAACCTAAAAGAATAAAGATAAATAAAAATAAAAATATGTATTTCCTATCTTAGTAGGTTCTCTGATGCCAATTTTTTTGGATAAAAGAGAGAAAGAGCTGAGGCTTTGAGAAGCAAATTTCTGGGCAACTTAGACAGGAATGGTAATAAGAACAGTAGAACAGCATAACTCATCCAACACAAGGATGCTTAGATGGCACTAAGATAGATAATAAAGGATGGGCCAGTTAAAAAGTTATACCATTTCCGATAATATCTAAATGAGAAGAAACAAAGTTGTAATATTCACACACTAGTCTGATTACTTTACCAAAAACATTTTAAAGTGATTAAATGTTATTTACTTGCTTTGGTTCACCAATTTTTAAAATGTATGATCATATTCTGGAAACCAATTCAGTTCTATTCAGTCATCAAGGATTACTTGTTGGTAAGGTTTGTCAACAAGTTTAAGGACATACAAACCAGCAGGTATAATTTTGTTCCTTTACTATTGTATTACATCTCCTTTAACTAACTAGCATAAAAGTCCACATACAATGATTGTACACATTTTAGATTATAACAATACAATTTTGCCCCATGGCTTCTTTTTCTTCTTCAGGATTTTTACAGCTCCTTTAAAGAACTATAAGAAGCACACTCTTTTCAAGGAAGATAAACAGAACCCTGTAGTTTATATTAATTTTTCATCACACCGTCATTACATGTTTTGGAGAACGTCCAGACTAACGCCAATGTATTGATAGTCAAGAAAGATAAAAACCATTCTCAGATAAGAAACACGAGAAGCTTTTAAAATAAAATGGGTATTTATCAGCACTTAATTACACTTGTTTTATGTATCAATGTGCTAACTATGCAATGACTTACTTCAAAATCTGTTCAACTACTGTCACAATAGCTTAAATCCATAAAAAATAAAAGGTATTTAAGAGGCTCAAAGAGAGAGAGAGAGAGAGAGAAAGAATAGAAACATGATTATGCCTTGTCAATTTAGTGAATGAAGCTATTGGACTAATAAACTAAGAACATTTAGACTCATACTGGTAGTACCATTTAGCTATTTCATTAAGGCTGGATCTGTAGTATCTACTGCTGTTACCCAGGTGCAGTGAAAGAAATAAACACAATTATCTTTGCTGAACCTCAAAAAAGTGTGTGGTGGGGGAGTGTTATGGCATACAGCAATCTCAAACACTTTCTAATACATTTTTTCAGACACTCCAGATGATAGAAAAATGGATAAAATATATCTACTGCACGTCAGTACCTGATCAACATGCTGAGTTGAATAGAAATTAAGAGACTCAATTGTGCATACGTACCAGCTTGCAGAAAAAAGCAGTTTGAACACAGATAGAGCCAGGTTTTTGTTTTTTAACATTTGCAGTGAAAGTATTAGCTATCTTATTATTTCTCATGAGACAGATATTATGACTTTGTATTAAGTTACGGACTTAAGCATATTCTTACTGTAGTCAAATAGTTTCATGAATATCATGACTTCATATTAATTAAGTTATAATCATATATTCATTTTAGCCAAATCTTTTCATTTGATTATGATCATCTTCATCTTCATGTATTGATTCAGTAAAATTTAATTTAGGATTGCAACAATCTTAACAGGAAAATAGCTTTTCCAAAACACTAGATTTTTCTGAGGACTCTTATGTTTGGTATTTTGTTCTCTATCCATATTATACCAAAGAAGACACTATGCCTTAGAGTGTGGTTTCGAAACTGGGAGCAGAAGGGAGACAGAAAATAATTTGATAGCACTTTTCTATAAATAAGGAGATATGAACCTGTAGCCCTCATAACTCATAACTCTCATAAGTCCCAGACAGCACAACCAATGATCATGGAATTGTCATCCAGAACCACCGAAGGAAGCACCAGCTAGGGAAAATCTGTCACCGAGTCAGAAGTTAAACAGAAATGGCACCTTCCTAAAAATGAAAAGGTGAGGCACTTAGAAAATTTAACTTCAGGAAAAGAAGCAGTGAAAAAAAATAGAAAATTAGGATTAGCATAGAAAAGAGAAAGAAAAAACAGTCCCTCTTCATAGTACTGATCAACTAAAGAAAGTGATTTAGATAATGGATGTGTCAGCCTTCCCAGATAGACCAGACAGGAACCATGACCAGATGAGC